TTTGAAGCATATGGTTGTCATTCATACAAAAAAGCAGTGTTACTGTATTTAAACACTCACTGCAAATGCGTATGCTCTCCCTATTCCTTCGGAAGCACCGGTCACCACTGAAACAAGAATGCAGGGATTAGTCTTTTAAAGGTCCAGTGTGTAAGATTTAGGTGAAAGGGATCTATTGGCAGAAACTGAATATAAAATAATCCTAGTGATGTTTTCACGAATGTGTTTTATCTTAATCATATGAATTGTTGTTTTCTTTAGCCTAGAATGAGCTCTTTATATTTAAATACTTTATATTAACATCGGGAACGGGTCCTTTCTACGGAGGCCGCCATGTTTTTTAACAGTAGCCCAAACTGGACAATCTAAACACCTTTTGAGTTTTTATGACAACTGAAGAGAACCACAGGTTCTCTTTCATGTTTGGGGATGGGGTGGGGTTGCGGGTGGGGGTATTCAGCTGCAACATGCAACTTCACCACTTGATGTCGCTAAATTCTAAACACTGTACCTTTAATTGATTTCCACCACTTGTCATATTCTCCTGTAGTTTCCATTCTAAACACCGGAGGCACTGTGAATAAGAGCCACACATCCTAATCTCTGTTACCCTGCTGCTGCACAGAGGAAAAGCATTTTGTGAACATCCTGTTCTGACAGTCTGTACTGACACAGTGTGTTCCCCACTTCTGATAAAGAATCCGCTGAGAACAAACAGGAACTTCTTGTTTCTGAGAGCTCACTTCTCTCCTATCTCCTCCTCCACCCAAGATACAAACACCACGGGCTCATTGTTTATTTTCAATATTTTCACACATGGAGTGATAGGCGTCTGTTTTTAACTGGGCCTGATCCAGGGTGGAGATTTAAACGAAGAGAAGACTTTGAATGGGATGGGATGCATAGGTTTTAAATGATGTCATCATGGAAGTTTGAAAATTTGTTTGACAGCATGATGCAAGAAGAAGTTTTGCCCTCAGTTAAATAAACAATCAGAATGTGTATAATCTACTGTGTTTCTGAGAAAGTGAATATATCATCAGATGACAACACTTAGAGCTCAAAAACTTTCATAAAATGTCCTCACGTTGAGAATCAACTTCCTGAAGGTAAAGAATCCATCCATCCACTTATCCTTTAAGAGTCATGGGGACGGGTCGCCAGTTCATCGCAACATACAGAGACAAACAATCATTCTCAGTCACACTCACACCTATGGTCAGTTTAGAGCTTCCAATCAACCCAATCCCCATTGGCATAACCATCCAGACATGGGGAAACTACTAATCTAGAGTTTTAAATTAACCTAAGCCTTATCTGCATGTCTTTGGATTGCGGGAGGAAGCCGCAGAAAACCAAGGCAGACACAGAAGTTCATGTAGACTCCTCCCACAGCTCCCAGCCAAACCAGGATCTGACCCATGAATCTGTTTGCGGTGAGACAACAGTGGTAATCACTGGACTATCGTTTCGACCCAAGGTTATAGATATTATGTAATTTTTCAGGGGCATTGCAACAGGAGAGGCAAAGAAGGATATTGGTGAGAGGGGGCCCCAGAGAACTAGAAGATCTAGAATATCTAAATGTGTGTATGATGGGCCTGGGATGGTGAGTTTGCATTTCAACTTTCCTACTTCACTATTATTTATGTGTATCCCCAGTTACAATTTGTTTATCATTTTAATGGTAAAATAATTGTTTGGGGGTGGTTTTGTTTGGTTTGATGTAGGGCCCCCCGGGTGCCTTTTGCATGGAGCCCCTAAAGTCCCTGGACACACTCCTGTTTATTTATAAGGATATGGTCTGGCACACGCCCTTTCCACACGTTGGCAAATTTCATGAAATTCGACAAAGAAAAATCCATTATGTACTGAGCAGTGTGTCCAGCACGGCTTTTGTGTGTCTTTTGGTTCTTTTACTTCCTGTCATTGTTTGGTTTCCTACGTCCTTGCCCACCTATCTTGTGTATTTAACCTCTGTTTGTCGGCTCAGTTTGAATCAGTTCTGTAATTCAGTAACTATTATTATTATTATTATATTATTACACTGCTGGTCTTATCACAAGAGATATTTGCGAGTTTTTAAATGCTCTTGTGGACAAACTTTCACAGCTAATATCACAGGTAATACGTTTTCAATGGTTGGTTCAGTCTCAGTTTGGGTGAATCGAATAAAAAAACCATTAGACCATAATAATTTGTGGAACCATTATCAGACATGACTCAGTCCTTTTCCTTTATGAGTTCTGTGACCTTAAAGAACCTCTGGAGGCATTTCTTCAAAGCCCCCTAACCCCCTAACCCTACACAAACACAGACCTGATTATTTTTTCTTATATAAAATACAAATAGTGAATGTATTGTTTTATTTTGATTGCTCCATTTTATGTTCCAGAAGTTGCTTTTATTTTGGTTTCATTTGAAAATTTGTTCTTTCAACACAGTTGACATTAAAGTGAGATTTTAAAGTGTTTTTTGGCGTGACGGGCCATTTTCATTATTGTCCAGACTGCACCTTTGGCAAGAATGATATTTTCCTTGTTCTCACAGTTACTATGCTGACTGAGCTTCTTCAGCAAAAACTTGACATCAGTCAGGAAACTGCTTCCACAGGGAATAAAAAACATTGTTTAAAACAAAGCCGGTAGTGGTTGGCACTGTTGTTTCTCAGCAATAAGGTTCTTGCCAGTTTGGCCAGGTCTTTCTGTGAGGAGTGAGCATGGTCTCCCCATGTCTGGATGGTTTTTCTCCAGGTTCTCTGGCTTCCTCCCACAGTCCAAAGACATACAAATTGGGATTGGGTTGATTGGAAGCTCTAAATTGTCCTTAGGTGTGAGTGAGTGTGAATGGTTGTTTGCCTTTGTATGTTGTCCATGCAATATGCTGGCAACCTGCTCAGGCTGTGCCCTGCCTCTTGCCCAATGTCCACTGGGATTGGCTCCGGTTCCTCCTGCGACCATTAAAGAATAAGCAGTATAGATAATGGTATCATTGATTGAAGCCCAATTATTTACAAATTAAGGAGAGTATTATCAATGAGTATCTTTACCAAACGGCACTATCAGTATTCAGTACTCATATGTATCCATATAATCCTAATGACATAAATATGCAAATTATAGTGTTTTATGGAAACATATATAACATTAACATGATCATAAATACACCATCTGAATTAATATTCCTGACACATGTACTCACTGTCCTCAGATACACATACAGTGCTGACAATCACACAGGCAAACTGTAAACAT